GTACCTCGCTGAGACACCAAAACACCAAAAAGAAGGCCTGTCACATAAACTGTTTAGGTTAGGAGTTGTAAGGTTGAAACACATTAAAGCCAGTTTTGTTTGCCTTTTTTTCTTCTCTTCAAGTAAATTTTGTCCTTTTAATCCAGTTAATTCCTACGCAAATTTAAAGCTTGTGGAAGTGGCTTAGAGAAGTACATTCTACAGAAAGGGGAAATTTCTTCTAACGTTGACTTTAAGTGAAGTCACTCCCKTTAAGCATCTCCTCACTGCTGTGCTTCCTGGTAGCAGGAAAAGGTTTTTTTCATGCTTATTCCATTTGCACAGTACCTATATGAGGAGAGAGTAGAAATCTGATTTCACAGTTTACCTGTGCTCCTATCACAGAAATCCTCACAAACGACAGAAGAAATTGCTTTTCTTTTTTTATTACCACCATGAAACCTCTTTCTGTATTTATTTCTCTTTCCACAGTCTCACAGGCTACCAAAGATTGCGTTCAGATGCAGTCTGCTTCCGACTGAATAGACAGCAGGATTCTTGCTGCTCTTTCACGGATGTCATGGATTACCAGTCTGCTGGGCCTTGTGCATGCACAGATATTATGCGAGAGGCACAGATATCATGCTAGGAAATCTTTGCTGCTTGTCCCTTACTAGAAGAGGAAATCCTTGTTTACCTTCTGTATTATTCACTGCATATTATTCATGTATGATATTCCATACTCCGTTGCACCTGTGGGTCTTTAGCTGCTCACGAAGATCATTGAATAGGTAAATGGTTTCTTTTATCATTTTGTTACTTTATGAGAAAAAAAAAMCACCCCTATTAAAACTCAAATTATGACACTATTACAATTAGGAAACGTATTTTGTCATAACTGCCAATAAACAGCACATATCAATGACTTATTTTAAATTATGACAAAATCATATTACCTCTTCAAGTAATTCTTGGTAGGACATTCAATGCTGCATACACATGTGGCTATAATGAGATATGTATCTTGAAAATTAGACAACATTTATGATTATATTTTGTTTTTATATTTTCAGTAATAAATCTAAATTTATCACTTTATGTGCTTGGTTTCAATGTTACTCAATCCAACTAATGACAGATACATTTAATTTATCCTCATTATAACTAATGGTTTTTGAAGTACAGGAAATACTAATTGTGTCTGTATATCCAACACGTTTTGAAACTTAAATAGATTACTTGAAAAATTATATTTTTATACTAATTTTTATACTAATATGGTGTCACAGGGATACTTCCACACTTAYTATTCTGTTGAACTGGACATCTTTCCAGAATTGTTCTAGTAAATGTACTCTATTGCACATAGAGCTGATCTTAATATTTCCTTCACATATTTATGCAAGCTCRAAAGAAAAATGACTTRACCTGTCATTTTTACAGTGTTCTATCTTGGCTTATGGAAACACCACTTTGAGTTTATGTTCAACATATTGTGTTCACATTAACAGGGAATATATCATTAAAGTAGCTGCATTTCTGATTTTTATTTTAGAATTCTAAAATACGTGGACTTGCTAAGAGTTCAACAAGGACAGACCTATCTGTACRCTCTCTTTACAGAGCAGCACTCCCTCCATAGATGTTTTGTACCTGAAAGACACATTCCAGACTGAAGATCCAGCATGCGAGCTCAGGCAGTTCCTTCAATCCGAGCTGCAATCACCCAGCTTGGATTGCAGCAGAGCAACTAAGGAGTTGCACCCTAAGGAGCCTTTTTTTTTTTTTTTTTTAGTAACTAAACAGTTTTGTGCACATCATTATATAGAATGAACCATGAACATTACTACTTCAAAAGTGTTTCAGCTACCTTTGCACGAGCTTGTTGTTGTTGTTATTATTATTATTATTATTATTGAATTATTCAGACTTTTTACCCATGTTCATTTCTCTGTGATAGTGATACTTCAGGACACTATGTTGAGCATATTACACAGAATCATGCTAATAGGGAGCTTTCTTAGACTGACGTGATTCTTATCTCCCGGGACAGCGAAGTCAATAACCATTTAGCAGGTACTGGATGTCTCTCAGTGTTTATTTCTTCTTTGCATTGCCACACTTGGGTAAGCCAATGTCCATATTGCATCAAATTTACCCAYACACAGCAGGAACAAGAGTTTCCTCCAAAAATGGCTGCTATACTCCTCATTTGTATGCTATGGATCACCACTTTAGATTCATGGCCTTTGTCATATATATTCTCCACTCAAGAATACGAGTCTCTTACTCTGTACGACTTAATGAATTTGCTGATGAGATCTCTGTGTCCCATTACTACCTAAGTTCAATACGCTCAGCTCAGTGYACTGAACTGTGCTAGCAAATTCACCCAGAAACTGCATGCTCCCATGCTGGGAGACACCCAACTCCTGCATCCTTTTCACTTCACACATACTGTTACATTCACAGATACTTTCATGCAGCCTTTTGCAGCCAAATCATTGTATTTAAAAATGAATAATGTGTTTATTTTATATCGGTAACCTGCTATTGAGCCTCCTGTAAATACGCTTCCCCTCAAAATACTCTGTCTTGCTTTATTTAGCACAACTCTAGACGATGAACTTGATACAAATATTTGCAGTTTTCTCCATTAAGTGGCTTGCTGGCATTCTTTAATGACTTTCTGACTTTCTGCAGTTACAGCTGAAATTCTGATTAGATTGAGCAAATGAGAAAGCCAATACATGTAAACCAAGTAATTAGTGACCCTAGGCTTGCATATATTTTCCCAGGTCTGTGAATCTTTCATGCAGAATTTTCAATGCAAGCAAGAAAAAAAAAAAAAAAAAGTAAAACACGCAGGTGGTAATAACAGTATTAATCCACTAATCTTTTAATAAAGATTAACAGATGAAAATATGTGTTTTAAAACTTCTAAAAATGTATAAAGCTGCAAAAGCTAGAACGTATGCTGGCARTGGAGCAGTATACCAGACGCAGGACCTTTGGTAATACCAACAAATAAATGTTTCGAAGAAGTGGTATTTTACATTTTTCAGTAAAACTGAGGTTTTACAGTCAGGAATCACACAGTCCTGCTGAGCAATTTGGTAAAAAAAAAAAAAAAAGGACAAGAAAGTTTAAAGAACTTCACAGACTATAGAAAACACAAGACAGGGACTGCCACAGATGGGGGAAACTGCCACAGATAGAGCAAAACAGTTATGATCAGTACATAATTATTATAAAGCTATTTACACAAAAGGYATGCCAAGTAATCAGAAGATCTTTCTTGGTGAGTATTCTGCCAGATAAATTTTATTGTGTATTGTATGTATTATGAGTGTAAACTGAATACAATCACAGCCCCATTTGGAATCTGCTTTCAAATACTACAGGACAAGAAGGTAAACAGAAGAGTCAAGACCCATTTAACACCGTGGTCACATCTGACCAGCTTGATGACCGGGTTACRTGACGAAACGCTTGGCTCAGTGGATGGACGGAGTGCATGTGCAATGTACAGCTTGACTTTAGGAAGCTGTTAACAGTGTCTCCCAAAGCATCCACATTTGTAAACTGGGGAATTCTGGGCTGCAGATTGAAAATTAGCTGGACTGCCACATTCAACAGAAAAAACTTTAGTACCTCAACAGCCAGTGCTGAAACTCATGCTGTAAAACTACATCAAACACCTGGGTGAGAGCACCCAGAGGAAATGTGTGAACAATATTAAACTAAAGCTGATGCACACACTGCACTAGAGGGGCGATCCAAAGGGATGCCCACAAAGCTGCGGCTTTGGGAGGCAGGAAGGTGGCGGGAACACCCGCCGCTCATGCCGCCCCAGAGAGGCCTCGTGGAGCTCAGCATGAACTGATGGGTGGCACCATGGACGACACCAGCGGGAACGTGAGTCAGTTAAAGTTCAGTCCCCCTCATCTTGGCACTGGATGGCCTGCACCTGAAACTGTGGCCAGTTTGGACTTCTCTGTCAAGGAGAGAGGTGGTGAAACTGAAGGCTCCAGCAAAAGATCTACCAGAATTGTCAGTCTTAGACCAGCTGTCTCGTGTCAAACAGCAGTGGGAGAAGCACTTGTTTCAGCTGGCAGGGGAGAGGCCATGGCACAAGCTAAAAGGAACCTACAGCTTTATTTTAAAAAAGAATTTAAAGAATTGATGAATCCCAATKCTCTTCATGAACAGCGAAAGGTCTAAGGACTGATGCTCACAAACTGCAGCTCAAGAGGATAAAGCTACTGTGCAGTTATCAGACATGCCAATAAAACTTCTACSAAGCAGAAACAATGTGTATCTGTCAAACTGAAAGAAAAACTCATATTTAACCTTTTAGCTCTAGGGGACAAGAGTTGGGGCTCTCTAGACTATAATTAGACTATAATAAAGAGCTCTTGRAGCTTTGCTCTGTTGCTTCACAAGRAATCAGACATATCAAAGTGAGTAACAACTCTAAAATCAACTTGGCAGCCCTCTGGGTTGGGAAGGTGAGCGCTGAGGGCACCAGCCAGGCACGCTGCTGTGGTGCCTGGACACAGCTAAAGCAGTCTGCGCACACACGGGAAGGCTGACACGGACCAGGACAAACGGACGCCGTTATTTGCAGCGTCCGTAACGTTTCCGATTACTAAAGGCGAAAACAAGCCGCAATGGGCAGCAGAGAGTGCAACGTGCCCGCTTGTTACTGCGGCAGCTACTAATGGCGCCCTGGCAGCCACAGCCGCCCCCGCGTCACCCAGCCCGGCGGGAGCGTCACTTCGGCCGCGCCGGGGAGAGCGTCACTTCCGCGCCGGGCGGCCCGGGGCGGGAAGCGCCGCGTTGCTCGGTCGACTCCAAGGCCGTTACGGGGCCGTTGGGACCGTTGGTCTCGCGGCCGGTGAGGCCCACGATGCCGCCCGCGAGGCGCCGCGCTGCCGGGCCGTGAGCGCCATGGCGCTGGCGAGCAGGGCGGCGCTGCGCTGGGCCCGGCTCCGCCGCCGCTGCCCGGCGGCCCGGCCGCCCGCGCCCTGCGCGCGGCCCTACAGCGCGCGGCACAGGGTGAGCGCCCGAGCGGCCCCGCGCACCGCCCGCCTGCGGGGCTTCAGCGGGGAGGTGTGAGGAATAGGTGCGCGCCGTCGGGTTTTATAGAATGGCGATGGTAATGCAATCCCGATTGTTCGGAAAAGGACCAAGGCGCTTTTAAGGACTTAGTTATATTTTATGCAGGGACTGTATTCATGGTTTGTGAAAAGGAATTTCTGTTTTTCAGGAAAAAATAGATATTTCTACATATTCTGCTGAAAGTATTAGAAACTTCAGTATTATAGCTCATGTAGACCATGGCAAAAGTACCCTAGCAGACAGACTGTTGGAAATTACGGGTAAGTGTTCTGTTTTCTTTCTTGCTTATATGGAAGGCCAGACCAGGGTTGTGAGAGAAGCTTTTGATAACCTTTCAGGTCATCACCAGTGTGGGACCTTGGGCAGTCTTACTTGATGCTTGTAAGAGGAATGGGTCTTTGCATCCATTCTGGTGTGGGATAGTTTTCCTTTCCTGCTTCAGATTGCTGTTGGTTGGAKCTGTGAGGTCATGAGCTCTCCAGTGATCTGAGGTGGAGAATTTCTCTTCCTTTAAACATCAAAATAACTTTGCACTGGAATTGATTTTTTCCTACTACTTAGTCTTTGGCTTAGATTTAGAAAAAATTTGTAGCCTGTTTGTATAGGAAAATATTATCATAGGATCACAGAATGGTTGAGGGTGGAAGGGATCTCTGGACCTCATCTAGTCTGTTGAAGTAGAGTCACCTAGAACGTGGTGCTCAGGACTGTGTCTAGCAGTGTTTGAATATCTCCAAGGAAGCAGACTCTGTGACTTCCCAGGGCAGCCTGTTCCTGTGCTGCATCACCCTCACTGTAAGGGATTTTTTTTCATCAGGTTCAGACAGAATTTCCTGCGCTTGTGCTTATTGCCCCTTGTCCTACTGCAGGGCACCACTGCAGAGAGTGGGGCCCCGTTCTCCCCTCCCTTTGGATGCTCGCACACATTGACAAGATCCCATGTAAGCCTTCTCTCCTCCAGGCTGAACAGTGTCAGGCCTCTCAGCCTTTCCTCATTGGAGTAATGTTCCAGCCCTTTAATCATTTTCATACCCCTCTGCTACACGACCTGCTCCTGTAGCTCCATGTCTTGTACTGGGGAGTCCAGCACAGGGCGSAGCACCTAAGTTGCAGCTCTTGCAGGGCTGAGTAGAGGGGGAGGCTTCTCTCTCTTGACCTGCTGGCAACTCTCATGCACCCCAGRTTRTGTTTGCCTTCCTGACCACAAGGAYGCATTGCTGGCTCTTGGTCCTCTTGTTGTGTAGCAGGAGCAGAGAACCTTCTCCAGCGACCTGCTTTCCAGCAGGCCCATCTCAGCCTGTATTGGTGCCTGGGGTTGTTTCTGTGTACGTGAAAGTCTCTGCATTTGCCTTTGTTGAGCTTCATGTCCATTTTTCCAGGCTCTTGAGGGCCATATGAATGGCAGCACAGYCCTCTGAATAACCATTATATTTAACTTCATATATAAAAAAATATTTAACAAATACTAAGATGTAAAGAATATTTTTWAAAATGAAAGTTTATCTTGAACTTAATGAGATAGAACAGCTCCATTTGCAGCRACAAGAGCCCCTTGTTCTGGTTAGTGATGTTTTTAATGATTGCTTATTTGGAGGGTTGATATTYGGGTTTTAATTTTATAGCTGTGCTCAAATTGTATAATAATTACTAAATTAAAACTTGTATGGTACGTTTAGTCATAATACTATGCATATATTGGCTAAGATGCTAATGAGGTATTCAAACTGTTTTTTGATCTTAGGAACAATTGCTAAAACTGACCGTAATAAACAAGTGCTGGACAAGCTGCAAGTGGAACGTGAAAGAGGGATTACAGTTAAAGCACAAACTGCATCTCTCTTTTATAGTCATGAAGGAGTAAACTACCTCTTAAATCTCATTGACACACCAGTAAGTTAAGTATAAACTATTTAATTCCACGTACTCACTTCATATTTAAAAATATAGATAAATCACTGTTTCCTGTCGTTGTGATCATTAAATGCTTTATTTTTTTTTTTCTTCAGTAACTGTCTTTTGAATGAAGAAATCTTTGCAATCAACTTAAATGTTCGTAATTTCACATACTTAATTTTCTCCACAGGGCCATGTAGATTTCAGCTATGAAGTGTCACGGTCGCTATCTGCCTGTCAAGGTGTCATACTCGTAGTGGATGCAAATGAGGTGAAGTTCTTAATTTTTTTGTTTGTTTTATATATTATTGTTTTGATTCTTTTATGTTCTTCAATTTTTCCAGCAAGGCTTTTGCTTCTGATCTAGCTCTGTAAAACCATTGTGTTGCAGAATAACAGTAATGACAGTTTAAAAGAGCTATAGACAAATACTTTTGTACTTATAGGTGCTTCAGTTCCATGACATAGAAGTAAAACCAGAGATTAGTCAAGCATTAAATCCTGCTTCCTAAAGAGCATGAAGAATAGGTGGCTGTGGCAGTAATACCCATGCAAGTACCATAAGTTAGTTCATAACTGAAAGGCAGGACTGTGCATTTGACCACACTGTGGGCTGTAACTGGCTATTAGTGTCTCTAATTGTCTTCTGTAATGCAAATTCATCTTGGAAAGTTTAAGCTACAGTGCAACATGAGACTGTCAATAAACTTATTATGGAAATCTGAAAAGTTTTATGCCTACTGGATTAATGGGTTCTGGACTGCCTTTCAGGAATAGCAGGAGAGTTAAGGAGCAAAGTGCTTTTAAGATGACACTGGAAGTTTATGAAACTTAGGACGAAATCTGGGCTAGGAGAGAATTGAAATGGAAGACTCTGGATATCCTTCTCTAAGTATAGTGGTAAAAACATTTTAAAAAAGTTCAGCTAATGGACTGGAATAGGAGTATTAGGGGATCATGGTTTTAAATATGGACATATTTACACAGAGCATATGGAGGATTTTTTTTAATGGTATATTTATGATTAGGTTGTACAACAGTCATATTAAGGTTACTCTTTTTCCATTTGTTTTTCTTAGTGGGAAGATATCTAACTTCCTTTGTTTATGAATGCTTGCTTCTTCTCAACTTGGGAGAAAAGTAAAGCTTTTGGTATTTAATGATAATTACTAGTTGTTCTGTTTATATTCACATTTCGAAAAATGCTGTGATTTTTCTTTTCTTTCTTAAGAGTATGCGCAATCAAATACCATTAATTATTTTTCATTTAGTTAAGTAGTCTTATTTTGTATGATATATAATCTTACTCATTGTATTTTGGCATGTTTAACATTTTTATTGTTTTCTAGGGTATTCAGGCTCAAACAGTGGCAAACTTCTATCTTGCTTTTGAAGCACAGCTTGCAATAATTCCTGTCATAAACAAGGTAATGAAGTTTTAGAATTTTATATTAAATAGCAAATAGTAAATGTATAGTTAATTGACAATAAATGTATCCTCMAGTAGAAGGGTATAATGAAAAAAGAACGTAACTAATATTTAATAAAAACTTTATGTATTTTCTGCCTGCTCCATATTTTAGAGTAAATGATTTGATGAATACACGTAGAAGCATTTTTCTAAAAGCAGCAGTGGGAAATAAAGTATTTGTGGAGTCCACGTAGTTAACTAAGTTCAGAAGCACTGTGTAAACAACATCTTGATAAGGAAGGATGAACCTGTTTTTGTTTGCAAAAATAAAAGTAAGCTTGAAGTGATTAAGGGGTATGTTATGAAAAGCAACTGACTATTGAGCTGAACAGTAGTTCAATAGTGTGTATTTTATGTTGCTAAGAATAAGCTGAAGTCATGGCTTTCCAGGGCCTAAGATGGAGTAGATGTAAAATATGAGTGAGATTCAGGTGATAGAGTTTGGAACCCATAACATCCAACTTGGACAGGCTTTAATTGGAGGAAATAGATTACTATTGCTGCTATTAAGAAGTTCAGATTGGATTGGTCATTGTTTAGCTTAAAGGTGTTTTTTGTAGGGGAGGAAGRGGTCCATGCAAGTTGTACTTGATGTTTGATCCTATAAACAAATCTAGATAGTATTTATGTTTTAAAATTACTTAGTACCTTTATTCAATACCTTCTTTTTACATTGTCTAATGAAACAAACAAAAAAGGGTGTACTTAGTCTTCTTTGCTTGACTTCAAAAAGAATCTTCTCCTAAAACAARTAAGCTACCGGAATTTTTAATGTTAGTCTGTAGCTTAATTTATGAAATTATCATTTGTTCATAGTGAATACTTTCATTCATTATAAACTTGTTAAAAAAAAAAAAAAAACTTTCATGTCCAAATCTCTAGAAATTCTTTGCTTAATTTTAAGCCATCATATTGAAAGTTTTATAAAGATCTTCTGCTGAAAATAGCCAGCATTTGTAAGTAAATGGATATATATTCTGTAACTTGTATTTTTGGATACTATCATGCTGAATGAATCATAAGATGAAGTTGCTGTATGTTTAGTAGTATGTTGTATTATAGATTGACTTGAAGAATGCAGATCCTGAAAGAGTTGAAAAACAAATTGAGAAGCTGTTTGATATCCCTGTAGATGAATGCATAAGGGTAAGATGTTTTAAAGTTTAACATGACTGTTCGTAGCTAATGAAAAATTGTACGCATAGTAAATAAACAGGGTGCTGTCTGTCTTTGATATATGGTACGAAATTCTTTAAAGGTTATTTTCTTCTGGAAGATGAGAATGGAGAAAAAAATTGTCAGCGAAGACATTCTAATATGGCTTGATGATGCATCAGATGAAATTTTCTCATTAGTCTAGTGTTGCAATACGATACGATACTAATAACCACTAAATGAGTGTAAGGTGGTTGTTGTATAAAATAGTTGTTGATCTTGTTTTAGATTTCTGCAAAACAAGGAACAAAYGTTGAAAGAGTTCTACAAAAAGTCATTGAAAAGATCCCACCGTAAGTTGTGTATTTTGGTTACGAAAACTTACAAGGTTAATGAGGAACCAGAGTTGCATTTGTAGAGCACTGTAATGAAGGCAGTCTGACATGAAAGCTGAGAAGTGAGTCACTAAGCATGATACTTTTAAAAATGTTTATATAGCTTCAATTTAGAAACAACTTGTTTTTCACTATAAAAGTCAGTCTTTCAAAATCTGTTGTACTGGTTTTGTAATTACATTGTTACAGTGATATAGATTATTGAAATTTCCTGTTTGACATAAAATATCATATCCTGAACGTTAGAACAGACATTTATCTAGGAACTTCATGCCAAAAGTGCTAAATTTCAGCTCAGTTTCAGTCAGCACATAGCTTTTTTGTATCTTTTCCTCCTGCTAGATAGTGATTGTAGTTAAAAGAACCATAAGGAAAATCCCAAACTGGTTTTACAAGAAGAATTGCAAACGCAAAATATCAGTGTTTTTTTTTTAAAAAACCTTTTGTTGGAGTGTCACTGACTGTGGTTTATTTGTGCAGATATTGCACATAGAAAATATAAAGTAGTAGTAGTAAAACACTGAAGTGAGGTRGTGAGGTATACTCTGGGCTTGTTATGCTGATAATTACTCCATATTGTTGTCTGTAATAACACATAAATGTTTTTTCTTTTTGGGCAGAGAGGGAGAATGGGACTATTGAATTCCATACATGCATCTTAATCTACTGTTTTGCATCTTCTGTGACAGACCCCAATGTAATACTACTGATCCGTTGAAGGCGTTAGTGTTTGACTCTACCTTTGATCACTACCGAGGTGTCATAGCTAATATAGCACTTTTTGGTGGGGAGATTCAGAAAGGGCACAGTATTGTGTCTGCTCACACAAAGAAAAGGTATGAAGTTAATGAAGTAGGAATACTGACTCCAGATGAACAGCCCACACATAAACTGTAAGTAAAATTTTCTTTGAGTAGAGCAAATAATAGATTGGTGTGAGATGTAAAATTTGACACTGTATAACACAAAAGTTAGCTCACCTGTTCAAATTTTACTTTGAGTGATAAAAGGTAGAAGTATGGGCAAGAACCTACGATACATAATAATCATGAGTAACACACCAACCTAGTCTCAGTGCACATGCTATAAGCAGCTCTTTCTAGTGTGGCAGCTGGGAACTCTTCTGGCTTGTGTGTCTTAGGTCCTTGAAGYTCCCCTTAGCACCTGCTTTCAAACTGGGAATAGTACAGACTGGAAGTCCAAAGCTGAATGTATCATTTAATTGTAACAGATGTATAACTACTTCAGTCAACAGATGATTCATCATTTCAGACAAAGTTTTTAAGTTAGAGGAGAAACAACTCAAGTTTGCCATTTGGTTTGTGGATGGGCTTGGGGGGTGTTATTTGAATTTCTGATTGAGTGAATTCAGGTGGGGAAGAATTTTGGTAAAACTGCTAATTACAGGAAGCATCTCCGCATAATGCAAATTTTATTTAGATATGCTGGACAGGTGGGCTACCTGATTGCTGGAATGAAAGAGGTAACGGAAGCCCAAATAGGAGACACACTGTTTATGCATAAACAGCCAGTGGAGCCTTTGCCTGGCTTTAAGTCAGCGAAACCAATGGTCTTTGCAGGTGAGGAGTAAAATGATTAAAAATGGAATCACCTTTATACAAATTTATAATCAAGAGTAAGTACTAAACCTCCTAAAAGAATAAAGAGTATATTAAGAGTGGTGAGGATTAGAATTTTACCTAAGTTAAGCTAGTGGGGCACATGTTTGTAAAACTTTAGCTTTGTAAGTTTTTTTTCTGGTGACTTAACACATAAAACTGATCTGCAATGATTCTTAGTAAATAAAATAAAGTAAATAAAAGACTGACATTTACTTTTAGCTATGATTATTGCTTCTATGGGCACTACAATCTTGATAGCTGGAGAAGAAAGGTTGAGACTTTGAAAAATGAAGTCCATTTTTGCAACTCTTCATCTTGATCACCAGGTTTCTATCATTCTTTTCTTTTAAAAGCTAGCAGCTGTTTCATTTACTTTGCCAAACGTGGTAACCTGCTAAAGGCAATTTTCAAAATAATTTTGTGAAATAATTAAAAGGTTGAGTGGTTCAGTTGAGCTATTGTCGCTATCTTTTGCTTCAGTAATYGCAACAAATACTTTGAAAGATGACTCCATAAAAAAAATCTTTGTATCATTTCTTAAACTTTTCCTGAGGGGATGGATAAAACTCGTAAACACGCTCATGAAGGGTATGCTTACTGTCAGTGAATGTAGAGGGATAGTATCATCCTGTAGATAGGTATCTCATGTCTGTGTGTTCCTCATGTCTGTAGAACAGTCTATTTTTTTTTTCTGAACAAGTAACAAAGTGGAAATGATACAGTAGGATCTATTTTGAGTGCTAATTATACAGACAGGTCTGGTTATTTAAAAAAAAAAACCTAAACATTAGCTGCTTTTATAGTTTTGTATGACACATTCTTACTGCTAGCATTTTTGAAGGAGCATTTGGGGGAAATAGTCTACTTACTCTTTAGCAACAGGCTTACATAGCAGCTCTTGATTACATCTTAAACATAACTTTATCTTTAGGTTCTAAACAAATAAAATAAAAAAATCTTCATGCTAAGAGGTATATTTGAAAATTAAGTGCACACTAAATCAGATAAATCTCTTTATCACATAATTTTTATCTAATTTGTTTGACAGGAATGTATCCTGTAGACCAATCAGAATATAATAATCTCAAAAGTGCTTTGGAAAGACTGACACTGAATGATTCCAGTGTAAGTGTTCATCGTGAGAGCAGCCTTGCTTTAGGAGCTGGGTGGAGGTGAGGCTTTTATGCTACTTTAGTTTTTTAAAATATTTATAAACTGTTAATGCAGGTTTAAGGCAAATTAAAGTTGAATTTATTTTAATTCGAGTTTAGAAACTTTGATTCAAGTTAATGATAGGTAAAGATGGACAGCATGTGAGCCTATATTTGCAGGGAGTATAAAAAGTATTATGATAGTTTCTGAAGACTCCTGCTATTCAACTGTAGGACTTTGACTTGGTCTTTGGGAGATTCTTTGCTATGTTTATTATTGCCAGACCAACAGTGTAAACATATTAGGGAGAAACAACACCCTGAATTTCCAGGGGCTTTGCAAGCACTTTGAAGAACAGATTTTTTTTTTTTTTCCTAGGTTGGGTTTTCTTGGTCTTTTACACATGGAAGTTTTTAATCAACGTTTGGAGCAAGAATATAATATGTCCGTTATCTTGACTGCACCTACTGTTCCATATAAAGCTATTCTTTCATCCGCAAAGTTGATAAAGGTAAGCTAAATTTATTACAGCTTCATGTCAGTGGCTAAAAAAGTTTAAAATCCTTCTATAAGAGACCTACACTTTTAAAAAATATAGTAGTTCTTTATTTTAACGTGAACATTGGAATCACTGTTATTTAACATTCTTTAAATATTCTATCTTAATTTTACTTCCCACTTTTACCTTCTAGCATTGTTTTAATGAATTTCACCTGTCCTTGAAAAGAAGTGAAAAAGAGAATAATGCACATTGAGCTGAATTCCCCGCAAGTGAAATAATACTTCCAGACTGACTTTGCCATGTCAGAATCCATGGATGTTTTCAGGCGTGATTTAAAGTGGTGCTGTAGATGGTGGCAGGGGTAGGTGGAGGAAAGTCAGGCAAATCATGGTCAAACAGCCTGTATTTTCACCATACTGCAGAGAAACCATTTTTTCCAGTTCTTTTTTGCAAGTAATGATGATGGATTTAGATGACATATTGACAACATCAACATATATTGATTAGAGATTTTTTTTTTTCTTTCTTAYGTGGGAGCCTGTTTTGAAGATCAGTCTTGGAATAAATTTGGGTTGTATAACTCACAGGTGTTCTTAAACAACTGAAAAAAATAGAGCATTTTAAAATGTTGTGTTTATCTGCCTCAGTGTGTCTCTCTGGCTCCATCTCCCTGCGTTTTTTTCCCCCTGAMTTTGTGATTCTGTATGATTCTTTTTAAAAATCAGTGTGTTTGTTTGTTTGTTTTTGTTTTTTTAACTTCTCAGGAGTATGGTAGAGAGGAGATTACTATTGTCAGCCCTGCTCAGTTTCCTGATAAGCTGTCAGTATCTGAATATTTGGAGCCAACAGTTCTCGGCACTATYGTAACACCTCAAATATATATTGGGAAAATAATTGCTCTGTGTCAGGTTGGTATAGAGTTTCAGTTTTGTCAACTGTATTTTTAAGTTCTTTATAATAAATAATAGTAAAGATATTAGGTAGTGAGACATTAAATATCAGTGAAGTGTATCTTTGGATAGTAATTATTAAATACACTTCTTGAAGGAGAATAAGTACTTTAAGCTTGCATGTAAAATTCCTTTTCAACTACAAAATGCTTATGCTAAAAGTTGCCGGTCAAACTCGGTGACAATAGAAGACTTGCTCCAACATCCTGCAGTAGAAAAGTGTATAGCTGGCTTTGATTTCCTGAGGAATCAAAAATGCAGAATCTGCAGCAGAAGAATAAGATCTATTAGTCTGTATAAGTAAATTCACCTTAGTTTGTACAAGTAAATTCACCTGAATGTGACTTCTGTGCGTATTTTGCTGAGGTTTTATACACATTTTCAGTACTTCACTGAAGTACATTTAGAATGGTGGTGGGCAAAAATGTACCCTAAGTGCATCTGAATTAATTTGAAGTGAAAAAGTTTTTCAAATGCCATAAGTAGGTTCTTAAACTTCCTTTGCAATATCTTTTTGTAACTGTTAGCTGTAGTATTTCAAGGTATGTAATACAAAACAATGCTGTACTTATAAGTCAGCTAATAGATGCGTAACATGTATTAAAAAGAATTAAAAAAAAAAAAAATTAAGAACATGCTGCTGGCAGGAGGGGAGATGAGCCTGCCGGGGCTAGTGCATAATACCCTGCAGAAAGCCTCATTTCAGGAAGTGAGTTTTTGAYCGTAACACCTGTACACATAAAAGGCAGCACTGAGCAGAAGCTGGTAAGGATTTCAGAAATTCAGCTTTTGAGAAGAGATATATTTGAACTACTTATCTAGTTAAATTGCAACAATTTCTTTAATTATTATTTTGTCACTCCTTATTTGCTCTGGGACCTAATCAAACTAACATGTCACCCTGAGGCTTTAGGGACTGCAGTTTTCTAGTGTAACTGGATAGCTGTTTATTTTGTTATATTTCTGTCCAGGGGAGTTGAAACATTTTTATTTGTCTAGGGTCGCAGGGCAGTCCAGAAGGATATAGTGTACATTGATGAAAACAGGGTTATGCTGAAATACCTCTTTCCATTGAATGAAATAGTGTTGGATTTTTATGATGCTCTTAAATCTCTGTCTTCTGGTTATGCAAGGTAACTACAACTTCTTTTTCTCTMCTCCCCCAAGGCAGGGTAATTTAAAAAAAATAAAAAGTCTTTGAGTAGAAGACCTAGAAAGGCACAAGGAAAGAATACTGGTGCTGCAAACCCGGTCCTCTTTCACCGTTAGTAAATTAGAATCACTGAGAACCATTGAATATGAGTCACATGCATCACATTTAATCATCTTTCTCTTGTCAGGCTTGTGTTTTTCAGGTGTGCCATGTAAGCTTGCACTTGCTAACCTAGATGAGTCACATTTTTCTGATGTGAGAAGGGACGTTGGTTAATTTAAAAAAAAAAAAATCCTGAAAAACAATACTTCTGTGTTAATTATGTCTCGTGCACGATTTCTGCAAATTCTGATACTAGAATAATACTCAGCTGTTTGCCAAGAGCCTTTCAATTTAACTGAAGAGAAAATGTTGCAAGGCAAATAGGCTTGCATCACATGAGTCTCAAGGGCTCTTACAAATCTTAGGTGCAGAGATCTTGTTAGTAAGATACATTATGTTTTGACAGGAGTAACTGCATTTTCTATTTTATAAAATTAAATTTTATTTTTTATTATATAAATATTTTATATTTCTATTTTATAATTTTATATTTTCTATTTTATAAGTAACAAATGTTTTTAAATGACAGAACTTCATTTTATTCTCTGATTGCTTAAAGACACCTTATGAGGTCAGGGAAATCTACCGTTTGGTAGAGATCTCCTTCAAACAACTGTCCAAGAATTATGCTGGATTTCATTTTATTTAGGTGTTAGCTTTTTTTCAGATCTGACTATACGTGATAGCATTGGCATTCCTCACCTTTATACTTACATATAAGATACACATAATCTAAAATACAACTCTGCATTTCTATTTTAAGAATACTGTGGCAGCTGACGCACAGATAACRTGGCTTGGAAGAAGGGGGTTGGAAATGCAGAGAGAAACGTGGTTGTTGGGGTAATGTGGGTTATATAAACAGTCTGGCAAATGGGAGGATGAAAAGAAAAGTCTAGTGTAGGCGCTTGATTCCCACAAAGCTCTGTTGAGTTTTAATGAACTGAAATGAACTGAAGGGAGAAGCTTCTTTGTATTTTGATAAACTCTTAGGGAGTGCAGCATGAATGTAGATTCTTAATAGACTTATCCTGCCAAGTAGCTGGAATATGGCATGGAGGATGTCTTCTGCTGCTTGGAGCGARGATTATTTGTGCAGTAAATTGCTCCTCCAGTGTTGAAGAAGGGTGCCAAACTGGAGGAGCAACAGTTAAGAAACTTTTTTAAAACTGTGCTCCTACTTTAATAAAAATTAAAGTGTTTTATTAAAAAGTGTGTACAAAACTTAAAATATCCAGAACAAAAAATGCAGAATATAATTTTCACAGACTCTCCATTAACTTTTAAATTGTTTTTCTTTTAGTTTTGATTATGAGGATGCAGGATACCAGGCAACAGACCTTATCAAAATGGACATTCTCATAAATGGAAATSCAGTTGAAGAACTGGCTACTATTATACACAAGTAGGTGGACTGTTTTCTTTAGTTCAAATAATTAYAGACTTGTTAATACAAGAGAATATCCATGCAATACAGTGAAAACATATATCTTACGATGAATGTATTTGAAAACAGCTTTGAAGATTTTACGACATGACCACTTTTGGACAYGATCTGAAAAAGAGAGGCATTTTATAATTAGGGTGGAGTTAGAGACTATGTTTCAGTTAAATCTCAAAAATCTTCTGCTTGCCATTCTTAATTTAAATACTAGATAAAGTGTATCTATAACAATGAGTGGGGGAAGAAAATACAAAATGCCAATCTTCTGAATTGCTGGCAGGTTGAAGACAGACCAGTCTTGCAGATGCCAGATTTATCATTTATAGGCTTTTATTTACTATTGAAAAACTAAAATATGTTTGCTGTTGTGTTGTTGCCACACAGACTAYCAAGAGAATGGAAGTAGTAGCAGTCATGTATTGCTACATGAATGCAATCTTTTGAGAGAGAGAGATGAGACAGTTTTTTTCTCTTTTCAGATTCTAAAGTATGTTCAGTTGTTGAATGTCTTACTTTGATTAGCAGATTACACTTTAGAAAATTGTTTAAAGAAAAATGTTTTTGTAATCTTTTTATAATTTGTACATTTTCTGACCTATTATGACCTTGACATTCTAGTTTAAAATAGCAGTTGAAATTGACTGTAATCAGTATGTCTTCAGTATGAGAGACAATTTCTATTACGTAGTATGAATATTTAAAATTTTCCTGGAGATGTTAATGTAACCTTACTCTCTGTTTTATAAAGTGGGTAGCATGAAGTAATCATGTCRGAGATACAAAATTATGATCTAACAACCTTAACATTTGAGTTGAAAAGATGATAAAATCATTTTCTCCCTGTGGTCTGCAGCTATATATGAGGTTGTGTTGCTCCTTCTAAACGCGCTCTTGACTTTCTCTTTCAGGGAGAAGGCATATGCCACTGGGAAGTTCATTTGTGAACGTTTAAAAGATGCTATACCTAGACAGTTGTTTGAAATAGCCATCCAGGCTGCTATTGGCAAGAAAATCATTGCAAGAGAAACGTAAGTGGAACCACTTTACCCTTACCTTTACCCTTCTGTAAGATTAACCGAAAATAAATTAAATTGTTTGCAGTCAGCACTGCACTTAATGGATGGAGTATAACTTGCAGTATGGATGGAGTATAACTTSCAGTAGCCGTATGTCCACTTCCCTKTTTTGGCTGTAGAAAAAGTTTCTCACCAACGGAAATAAAAAAACTATTTGAAGAACAGTTGAGTCTCTGAAACAGTCAGCCAGAAAAAAAAAAATCCCAAAAACCCTGAACAGTGCAGTTTCAAGGAAAATGTGTTGCAAGCTCAGCACACACATGCACRATTATTTCTTAGCAGTAGCACTTCCTTTAGAACAAGCAATTTCCTTAWCTGTTTTTGTGCTGTATTTGGGCTGTTATAGAATCACAGAATATTCAAGGTTGGAAGGGACCTCTAGAGATCATCTAGTCCAACCTTCCTGCTCAAGCAGGCACACCTAGAGCATGTGGCACAGGGYGGCATCCAGGCGGGTTTTGAAGACAGTTACAGTTGAAACAGAATTTAAACTTCTTTCTACAACTGAGAAATTTTTTTTAGGCATTTGGTTTTTATATCCAAAATTAAAATGTGTCATGACAATGTATCTTAAAACAGTAGAAAAACAAAGTTTAGCATTTTGACAACTCGGTATTTAGCATTATTATAYAAGAGATGCACCACTGATGACATGCACTGTGTTCTATTTTACAGGCTGAAAGCTTACAGAAAAAATGTTGTGGCAAAATGCGTAGGTATCTTTTGAGGTTTCTAGCSTATGCAAACCTGATAGTCTTGCTAATGTGATAGGTGTGTCTTTATATACAAATCAAAGTTGCCTGTACTTCTAAACATCAGTAATATTATCAGATACTCTTTAAGCTTTTATTTTAAAACAATTCTTACAGCATGCAGCAGCTGTAGGTTACAAATGTGGATCTGAAGAAGTAATGGCTTTTTCAAAGCTGCACTCTTACAGCGTGCTGAAGAGGGAGCATGTGTTCACTCCTGTCTCCTCCCCAACTTCTAATAGTTGTGTACATAAAGTGTGTGTATGTACACACACACACACACATATATTATATATATATAACAGTGTATGTAACTCCACATCATCTCTAAATTATTTTTCAGGCTTTATGAARATGTTTCTCTAGATACCGCTTAATCATGACAGTGTCTTAAAAAATGCAATACTTGAATACTGGACAGAACTGTATGAAAAATAGACAAAATGACTAAGAAGTATATCTAAATTAGAAGCAGTATCGTCATTCTACACTGCCCCAGTGTATCTGATGTGGCCTCAGGATGCTGTTCTAAAAGAATTTGGATCTCCTGTAGGTTGATTGAAATATCAGACAGGCTTATGGTAATTTATATGTAGGTAACTGGGTCTACCTTTAATTGTCCAAATAAAACTGCTGTCATTGTTCTTAAGTAGTAGTGTTTGGGGGAAGCTAGATTTTCTTATATTGTGAATATAACTACTCTTTTGGAGCAATTCTTTTCTAATGTCCTTGAACTTACGTTAGTGGGAGGTAGTGCATTTGCATTTAAACTTAGTATTTTCTTCTTCCTTTTTGCAGTATGGTGGAGACATTACAAGAAAAATGAAGCTTTTAAAGAGGCAGGCAGAGGGAAAGAAGCTGATGAGAAAACTTGGCAATGTGGAAGTACCAAAAGATGCCTTTATACGTGTTTTAAAAAGGCAGCCTGACAAATAGATCAGCAACATGCAGTTGACTGTTTTCTCAGTTTGCTTGGCAGTACCACAGTGAGTTAATATCTTTTATCTCTGGGAGAGGGAACAAGTGTGACTTTAAAGGGGTGCAAATTAAACAAAATGGCTAAAATGTACAGCTCTTTGTAAATCATGAAATTAAAGATCTTATTTAACATTACTGATTCTGAAACTATTTATTGCAGCTCCACAGAAGTTCTGTATTCTCAGGAAAACACTAAATGAAGAAGTAATTCTTACTGTCATAAAAAAATCTCCCAAGTCACAGCTATGTTTTTTTTTCCCTTTCAAACATGTTTTAAAGGCTGACTGAATTAAAATAGCATTTTTTTATGTAACATGCAGAGGTAAGAGGCTGAACTAGCAGTTGGGGTTTTTACCCTAGAATCTCTAACTGAAGACACATTATAGGCACAATAAGCTTGATGACAGAAGCTAGTTAGAGAACAATTGAGATACTCACAGAGGCAGATACAGTTCTAGACCCCTTCAAAACGGGGTATGTTAATGCAGCAGAATTGCAAGGGTAGCATCTGCCTTTTGCATATGGAAATTAAAATAATTATGAAAGACTGCAGCTTTGTTTTCTTTGAGAGAGCAAAAGAAATAAATAACATTCCTTAACTACTCAGTGTTTATAATGACACAGTGAGATAAAGTGCTTCAGAGAAGTTGTCTTTAATGCATCATCATTTAAACTTACAGACATTAACCTTCTGTAAATTAACTTATTTGCAGGCAGATAATATGAACAATACAATTAAACCTGTCTACCTTCAAAAAGGAACACTTAGATTTCTTATGTATAAAGCTCAAATACCAAAAAATATAAAAATCCTAAAGTAACTTGAAATAGATCAGAAGAAAAAGTGGCAAAAGTTTAGCATTTGTAACTGGTATAGATTGTTATAATACTTTGAAGGATCAGGTGCATTTTTAGGCACTGTTTCAAAATCTTACTTGCCTAAAATACATAGTAGGACTTGATCTACCCAAAACTATTTGCACAAGATAATTTAAGGCAACCACGTGCAAAAGCTCAGTGTGCATTTGATACATGTAAACAGAACATTTCATAGTAAAAGATTTGTGCAGCTATGGCCAAAGACCAAAACCATTCTGCCTAGTACACAAATGTCAAGTGTAGTTGCACTAACAGAGCCTTTAAAAAAAAACTGAAAATAAAGTATCATTCTCTAATACAGAGATCACATCTACATCTGCTTCTGCTAAATGAGTGCTCAGCTGCTTCCCCCCCCCCCCCATGCAGTCTTCAGTAAGTTTATTCTGTTCCATTTAGTTACTGTAACRGCCAAAGACAGAGTTCCAAGTGTTAAAACAGTGTACAACAACTAGATATGGAATGTGCATATACAGAGATTGGACCTTTAAAAAAATACAGTACCTAGGATTCCCCATTTTAGCCAGTTTTCAGCATATTGCATAGCAGTAAATTCATCTGCTACCTAAAAATGTTGCTGTTCACCCACATGGAGTTCCTCCTCAATTCTTCCTTCAGTTTCCTTTCATACTGTACAGTGGGTCCACAAGTTTATTGTGCACATGCATTAAACCTTAGGGGGAAAGCAACAATGCCAGCTTTACATTAGTCATAACACACTTTCAACAAGTTTTTCTATCCACATTTTTATTTGTGGAGTTTACTTCAAGTACACATCTCAAACAGTTCACTAAAAAGGTGGACTGACTCTTCAAAGAACTTAATTACTTTGTTCTTAAAGTTAGCGTTATTCCTACATCACCCAAATGTTGACTGCTTCAGGAGAAACTGATGAGGGATGCAAAATGCATCCCAGAACAGCCTATCCCACAGCAAACTAGGCAAAGAACAGACCTCGAGTATTTCCAAATAAATTAAGAGAATGCATGACAGAATGCATGACAGAAATTCACTTTTCCTTTATATTAAGGCAAAAACTGAAAAGTAGCAAAGTAAAAATTCCATTGCTGCATAATTTGTAATAAAAATCAGATTATTAATAGATAACAGTTCTAACATTCTAGCATTATGGTGTTACTATCTTTGTAATTGCTRTATTTCTGTTCCTAGACAATAGTCTAGATATTTTTAGTTATTTTAAGGCAGATTCAGAACTTCRTATCTTAGCAGATTTACTGTTTTGCTCATTTATAAGTCACCGTAACGTAAAAGAGATCAAGAAGGTGCAGTGCTCTTTTTATGCTGAAGTTGATCTAGTAAAAGTGTTACCTACATTTGTTTTTTTAGCCATTTAGCCACCTCATGCCACCTTAATGACTAACAGCAGTAATTAATCCACGTTCAGTATTCTGCAAATTAAGAGTTAAGCAAAACACAAAACTAAAAAATGATTTCTACAGTTACACAATGTAAATATTATGTGATATTAAAGGAAGAACAGAGATTTTTTTAGAAACCCTGAAACTCAAGTTTGGTAGTAGAGCACCTCCCAGAGATTATTGGGTAGCCAGGAATGCATCAGKGCATCATGTGGCAAATTTACCGTCACTGTAGCAACAATAAATTTCAATATTTAACTATATAATCTGATGTTATTTAAGTGACCATACCAGGCAGTATCTGTTCCCAATCTATTTACAAAATAGTTAAAAATGTAAGGTAAAATTACCCTTAAAAATGCAGGTATTATTTGCTTTCCAATAAGTGATACATTTTATCCTACTGAACAGTGGCTTTTTTTTTTTCTCTCCTTTCCAAGGTAATGCCTTAGCTTCAAGTTTTTGCCTTCAAGTTTTTTTTTTTTTTT